AGTTCGTACATGGCGTCCTAGTTTTCTACGGCAGGCGCAGGCGCTAGAATGGTGCGAGCCGGGTAAGACTGCGACGTGGAACGGATGGAAGGGTCACAGGCCAATGACCATGCCACACCATCGGGCAGCAGGAGAGGATCCGAAGAACATGCCCAAAGTCCTGCCAAAGAAAATGGCCGTCAGAAAATTTAGATGGTGTGGGCTCACTATGGTCAGTAGTGAATTAACGAATTACCTCTCTCATACTCGGCTCAATACTTCGCGAAAGCAGGGCGTTCGATACGATTCAATCGATTGAGAAGAATGTCCGCGGCGCAGATCCTAGAGCATGTTGCTCAAAGCCAGCCGAACCCTCAAGCGCAGCTGCTCCAGCGTCTGCTTCAGGATCTAGAGGCCTCCTAGATGGGGTCCGAGTGGATGGGGTCGGAGGATCGCGCCGCATCGCCGACGCATCGGCGATGCAGCGGCGATGCATCACCGATGCATCGCCGATGCACCGGCGACGCATCCTCGACGTCGGCGGCGCATCGGCGACAATCGGGTTCCACATCGATCCACATCAGCGATCCATCGGCGATGCGGCGCGATCCTCCGACCCCATCTTCTCCGACCCCATCAAGGAGGCCTAGAGGATCGCAAGGGAATGGGGCGTATCAAGCGACAGCGCGAATCTGATGACGGAGAACTGCGCAGCTGATGACCACACATGTCAAGCGTCACCATGATCACAAAGACGTGAAAGTGTCGAGAGAGAGAGAGAGCTTGATTTCGAAAAGACCCCCGCCCCCCGAAAATCCAAACCCTCTTCTCAGGAGCTGGTCCCCCCCCGCAACCTAGGCTTGGAACCACCCGGCGCCGGCAAGCAACGACGTCAACGAGGGTGAGGACGAATACATGGACGTCGACTACGACGACGACGTCGACAACGACGACGACAACGACGTGTCCAACCCGCCCACCCGACCAAATCACCCACGACGAAGACGACGACTATGACGACGACGACGACGACGACGACGACGACGACGAAGACGACGAGTCTCGCACGCCCGTTCGCACGACCGACCGACTCGCCTGCGACGTCGACGACGACGACGATGACGACGACGATGACGACGACGACGACGACCACCACGACGACGACGACGACGACGACGACGACGACGGCCGGGACACGTCACTCTGGGGCGGGCTGGAAGGCCATCACGCCCGCCCGCGCCGCCGGTTCCGGCCCACCGCGCTTCGGCGCGACACGCCCTCCACGTCCCCGGTGCTCCTCTGGCGGGCTCTCTGGGGCCGCCCTGGGGCCTCCTTGGGCCGTCTTGGACCTCCTGGGGGGTTAGGGCGAGGAGGAGGAGGAGGAGGAGGAGGGGGAGGAGGAGGAGGAGGAGGAGGAGGAGGGGGGGGAGGAGGAGGGGGGGAGGAGGAGGAGGAGGGGGGGGAGGAGGAGGAGGGGGAGGAGGGGGAGGGGTCTTCGGGGGGCCTTCTGGGTGTCGTCTCGGGCGCTCAGACGGCCGAGCAGGCAAGAACGCTGAGATCATCGGAAGAATGCTGCCCGTTGGGCTCCGTTTGGGGCTTTGCTTGCCGCCTCAGCGAGCTTTCTCGGAGCCCGCGAGGGGCGCGGCGCTGTTCGGACCTCGTGGGGCACCAGGCCCTACACGTCGTTCATGTCTAATCGTGCTCATTTCTAGTTGTGCTCGTTCCGAATTGCTCCTGGCCCCCTGGTGGCCAGGAAGAGGCCCAGGATAGAAGAATTAGAAATGAAAGGATCTTGGCCCCCCAGAAAATCAAAGAACTCTCGAAGAGTTAGAATTGAACCATGTGTATCTTTCCGACATCCGAAGCTGTTTGCGCGACGCTTCGCGAGACTCCTTGGGCCGTCATGGGCGCCTCTTGGGCCGCCCTGGGCGATCGGAAGCCAGAAAAAGCGAGGCAGCCCAAATCCTTCAAGAACTACGTACTGGAAAAACAATGTGTTTTGCCTCTTCGGGCCGTCCTGGAGGACCTCTCGAAGACCTCGTGGCCTTTTCGAGGGCGTCCTGAGCCGTCGTGAAGCCATCTTGGGCCGTCTCGGCGCCATCTTGGGCCGTCTTGGAAGCATCTCGGACGAACTTGGAAGCCTCTTGGAGGCCACTCTGGCCATCTTGGAGGTAATATTGAGCCGTCTTGGGCCATCTTGGAACCACATTCGGCCTTCGGGGCCGCCTTGGGGCCGTCTTGGGGGAGTCATGGGCCATAATCGGGTCATCTTGTGCCGTCTTGTGGCCGTCTTGGGGCCCTGTTGTGGGTCGGGTCGCTTGGGCAGTCTTCGTTTTCCATGGACAAACCACGGCAATGAATCAAAAAGGCCGAGCCCGGGGGCCCGGGGGCTTCTTGGGGGCATCTCGGAGCTTCATGGGGGCCTCTCGGGGCCGAGGGCTGGACATGTCCGTTCGGGCTGGACGAGTCGTCTTGGGGGTCTCTGGGGCCGTCTTGGGCCTCGTGGGGGCCTCTTCAGGGCCTCTCGGGGCGCCCTGTGGGCCTCTTGGGGCGGACAGCTCGAATTGTCGGTTCGCGTACCTCCTCTTGTTGGGGCCTTCCTGGGGCCGTATTGGGGTTCTCGTGGGCCGTCTGGGGCGCCTCTCGGGCTGCCTTGCCCCTCCTGCTACGCAGCATCCTCAATGCGACGAGGCCACTCTACAAGCTGATGTATGTTTAAAAAACTGTAGACGGGCCCCTTCACCTACGCGTGCTCCCTCTATGAGACCGGGCCCCTCCGCAAGCTGTTGCTTTAAACATCGCATTTATACTAGACGTGCCCCTCCTTCTACATGTACCCCCTCTGCTGCGCCTCCCAAGCTGATTCTGCAAAGCTGGGGGGTACCAGACGTGACCCTTCTCATACACGGTGCCCTCTTTTAAGGTCCCTCCCCAAGTTGATAAACCAGATCCTTGGTGCTAGATGTGTCCCTTCTCCTGCGCAGGCCCCCTCCCCGTGCTGATTACAAACAACTCATTGCTGCTGCACGTTCTTCCTCCTCCTCCACGCCACACGTTGTCAAACAAGGCCCCTCCCCGAGCCGGTATAAGAAGCTCCCTGGTGCCAGATGTGCGCCTCTTCCTACATAGCGTCCCGAAGCAAAAATGTTAGGTCGGGCATGTCCTCCTGCAGGCGGATGTTGGAAGAAAGATAACAAAGAATCAAAAAGGTTCAGAAAAAGTCGGAGGAGAGCACGAAAAATCGTCCCCGGGCTAGTGTTTGCCATCCTTGAATACTCCCCCCTCCTGTAGAGGGGCGTGCCCGCCTGGAGGCCAAGCTGCACAGCTCCCTGGTGCTAGACGTGCCCCTCCTCCTGCCCACGCGCCCCCTCTGCCGCGCAGCATCCGCCGCTCGACGGGGCTCCACCCGAGCGAAGTAAGGCAAAACTCCTCGGTGCGAGACGTGCACCTCCTCCCACACGGCACCTCCTGCGACCCCTCCCCCACGCTGAGTTTCAAAGCGTCCTTGGTGCTAGGCATGGCCTCCTCCTGCACGTGCCCCCCCCTATCGGACCAGGGCCCCTCCCCGGGCTGCTTTCCGAAAACGCATTGGTGCCAGACGTGCTTGCAGCTCTGGGCTCCGAGGTGCAGCGAAAGGATGCATCAGGCGAAACACGCCGGAACACCTCTCGAGCGGCATCTCGTAGCTCCAAGTTGCGAGGATGTCTCAGACGAACCACCCAATCCTTGCCCAATCAAGGCTAACTCGGAACGAGAATTGTGATGATATCTCAAGCAAAACAGCCCATCCCATCTCATTTCGCTGAGGGTACCTCGTCGCGCGGGGGGTCCTCTGGCAGTGGAAGGGACCGCTTGCAGGGTCATAGCGTGTCGCCAGGGCCGCCTTCGCGACGCACTAAAATCCGCCGACCCTGTCGGCGTGTGCGAGGGGCTTGGCTGTTCGAGTCGTCGTCTCCGTCGGTCGTCGCCTCCGTCGTCCCCTTTCCCTGCAGCTTCCTTCTCAAGCTCGTGAGCGAGAGAAAAATCTAGCAGTGTCGTAATCGAGTCGAAGGGAAGCCCCTTCCCTTCGATCCCTTCCCCAGGGGGGGGGGTCCGGGGGGGTCCCGGGGGGGGTCCCGGGGGGGGGGTCCCGGGGGGGGTGGGGGGGCAGATTCGTTTTCCTCGGGCGGCCTAGAAACCTCGAAAACACTCCAAATGAGGTCCGAATGCCCAAGATGGCCCCCGAGACGGCCCAAGAGGGCCCCGAGTCGCCCAAAGATCTGCCGAAAACGCCCAAGACAGCCCCAAGACCGTCCAAGAAGCCTCCAAGACGTCCCAGGCCCCCTCCAAGAGACCCCCAGGAAGCCCCAAGAGGCCCCCACGAGGCTTCCAAGCGCCCCTAAGACCTTCCCAAGAGGCCCACAAACTACCCCCAAGAGGCCCCCAAGAGTCGTCGTCGTCGTCGTCGTCGTCGTCGTCGTCGTCGTCGTCGTCGTCGTCGTCGTCGTCGTCGTCGTCGCCATTCAGGGTCGGCGGCACCGGCCGTAAGGCCTTCGCAATAAAGTTCCCGACCGTAAGTTCATCCACCCTTGTCCCATCAAGACCCGACCGTAATGACGAAAACAACAAAACGACGACGACGACGACGACGATGACGATTTTCATCAGCGAGGGGGCTGTGATGTTAAGGACGGTGACTGCGTGCCAACACAACTCGAGGCCCTTGGTAGTTTACAGCACGACATCTGGAACCCGTCACCAGGACAAAATTCCTCAGTCCGATGATGACGACGACGACGACGACGACGACGACGACGAGGACGACGACGACGACGACGACGACGACGACGACGACGACGACGGCGACGACGGCGACGACGACGACGACGACGACGACGACGACGACGACGACGACGACGACGACGACGACGACGACGACGACGACGACGACGGCGGCGGCGGCGGCGGCGGCGGCGGCGGCGGCAAAGCGGCGGCAAAGCGGCGGCGGCGGCAAAGCGGCGGCGGGCGGCCCGCGCTCTCGCCTCCATCCGGAGCCCCTGCGGGCGGCCCGCCAGGTGGGAGACCTGGCGCGCGCCCCGGGCTCGGCGGCAGCTCGTTGAAGGGGCCTCCCACGCTTGAAGGGGCCCCAGGGCGCACAAATAGATACACACGAAGAAAACGATTCCCCATATATTTTCCCATATGTTGGGGGGGGTTTTGTCTTCCCCCCCCCCACCACCCATACTTTCCCATATTTTCTCTGGGGGATCAACGATGACTTGTGTCTTTGTCTGTGTTTTTTCCCCTCCTGAACACCATCGAGCCGACCGGCAGCTCGTGGGAGAGCCTCGCAGCCCCTCGGGCCCCGCGGGAGCCTCCCCCACGCGATCGAGCCTCTCGTGGGAGATCCCCGTGGGAGCCTCGCAGATCCTCGTGGGATCCACGCACACTATCGAACCTCGTGGGGGCCTCGTGGGAGCCTCGTGGGAGCCTCGCGGATCCTCGTGGGATCCACACACTGTCGAACCTCGTGGAAGCCTCGTGACAACTCGCGGACAGGACAGGACAGAAGTCTGCGTGCCGGCTCCGGTAGCCGGAGCGGTCCCCTGAGGGGCAGACGCGCGCATGACAACTCGTGGGAGCCTCCCAACTCGGTGGCGACTCGTCGGCCCCTGCGAATCGACGCCGATCGACGCGAAATCGACGCTCATCGACGCCAGACCGACGCTCATCGACGCTAACCGGCGCTGAGTCGACGCCAATCGACGCTGACCGACGCTAAGTCGGCGCTGTCTCATCGACTCCCAAACGCTAATCGACGCCAATCGAGCCAGTCGACGCTAAAGACGGAATTACGATGGTGACAAGGCTCCCATGATTTGTCATCGAACGCCAGGGTTGGGGGTAAACCTGAGCGGTCAAGGTTCTTTCGTGAGTTCTCGCCTGGCTCGAGCTTCAGGTCGGGACAGGTCGTTCCCCTCTGTTCCCTCCCAGCGTTGAGTTCCCACTTTTGTGGTGCTCCGGCTGGTTGATGTTATGCATCGTCGCATTGCTGATGGTGTGGCGGCCGTGCTGTCGTTGGACATGTTGTAGCTCGGTGTATTTGGATGGTGTAGCCCGCATGGTCGACTGGTTGCCAAGTGGGTCCCTTTCCCTTGTTCAGGTTTTGCTGGTGCTGGTGTTTCCCTCTGCTTCTGCCTCCTCTGCTCCTGGAGTGACTAACACCCCGTTGGTCTGCGGGGTCTGGCAGGGCGCCGGTAGCTGTCGGGAGCTCTCGGCGCCCTTGGAAGGCAGGGGAGAAGGGGAGGCAGGAAGGAAAGGGAGGGGACACAGGGAGGCAAAAAAGACCCTGAGATCATGGCGTCTCAACGCTTTCGAGCTGGGCGTTTCCGTCAGGCTTCGGACCCCAGGACTCTCACAGATCGATATGACCCCCAAAAAAGCAGCAGAAACATGGAGTCTAGGACTCTGGTTGTGACTTGTTCTGCGATGCTGAAAATTCCTCCGCAACGCCCTCCGAATCATGCTACGTAGCTCTGCTCAAGAACCCTTCCAACCGTCTCTCCGATCCATCATCATCATCATCATCATCATCATCAGCAGCAGCAGCATCATCATCAAAAACAACAACAGCAACAGCAACAGCAACAGCAACAGCAACAGCAACAACAACAACAACAACAACAACAACAACAACAACAACAATTACTAGCACGTGGGGACACTCCGTTCTCACCAGTGCCAGGGTTTTCATAGGAGGCGGGCAATACCCCCACTTTGTGGGGGGGCCGGTTCAAGCTCTACCAAATTTCCAAACGACTCTTCGCCACCACCCACACCCAGCTTCCCGCCCTATGACGTTCGGACACTTCACTTCGTGGCATGCGGACGACCGTGGCTACTATTCAGGGCCCCGCGGCCGACGACGACGGCGTGCGCGCGCGAAGAAAAAACGAATGTGTCCCGCATGGTATTATTTGACAGGGATGATGGCCCTGGCAGGTGCGCAACCGTTGTCGCAGAAGTTCGAAAAAGTTGCTCGCAAAAGCCCGTTTGACAGAAATGTTTAAAAAGTGTTGGGTTTCCTACGAATCCGCAAGAGCGCGCGGGATGAGATTTTGACAATTTTTTGTTGAAAAACCATTGGTTTTTTGATGTTTTTATGTTAAAATCGCTGCGAACACTAAGGTTTTGGAAGGATTTCGTCTTGCGCGCGCGAATGTCCACTTTACCTTATTTTTTGCAAGGGATTCTTGAAATTTGATTATATTAGAACAAGAAATGTCATTTTCTATTGTTTTTTGCAAGGGAAAGCGGATTACAACAAAACAACCGGATCCTGTACACACCCTCTTTTCTGAGGCTTCCTCACGAAAATGATGAAAATGTAGCTGCGGCCTAGGCGGCGCAGGGGGGGCGCGCACCAGGGGGCCCAACAATAATTATTCTTTAGAATAAATAATGTTCAACAACAACATCGCTTAATCGATCCCCATCCCTGCCACCGGCATGGTCTTGGCACCCCTGGCCGACTCACCCCTCTACGCAGGTGGGAGTGCATACTGTCCTCTTCGGGCTCCGCGGGTCAGGCCCCCGCCCGAGGAGGAGAGGGGGGAAGCCCCGATGGGGCCGAGGTGGCATGGCCCAGGGGGAATGGGGATCGGCTGGACGATGTTGACCTCCTCCCCTTAGGGAGCCCACAAAGGACGTACGCGCCCAGCTATGTACATAAACACGGCCCCTCGATTTGCGAGACCGGCCGCATTATACAAACATTTGTGCAATGCGTGCTCTCGAAACCAGCGTGGATTCACATACATGTACGTCCTTCTTTCGCTCCTGACCCCTGGACCCCCACGGCATGCGGTGCCTTCCTTTGCTTGTCCACGGAGCCTCCCGCCGTCCCGACCCTTCCCCATTGGGCCGGCTGCTCCTCCCCTCGTTTGCTGACGGCCCCGGGCTGGGCAAGGGCCCCGGGAGGCCGGGAACGGCCGAAAGAAAAAACAACAACAAAAAAAACAGCGCGAACATGTCTGGGCCTTCTCTCCCCCACGCTTCCCGACCGCTTCCCCTGCGGCAGCTTCGCGTCCCCGATCGACGCCTGCTGGCCCCAGGGGCCGATCATGCGGCGGCGAGCGAGGGAAGCGAGGAGGAGGAGGAGGAGGAGGCCTTCCCCGAAGGCTCGGAGATCCCCTGACCTTCTGTGTGAAGCTTCCCCCGAGCCTGCCGCGAAGACACCGCCAACTCCTCCGAAGGCCGGAGGGCACCTGAGAAGCCCCGCCGCCTTCCGAGAGAGCCTTCTCCTTCTCACTTTAGGGAACCCACAAAGGATGTACGCGCCCAACTATGTACATGAACACGGCCCCTCGATCAACGAGACCCGCCGCGTGGTACGAACATTCGCGCAATGCGAACTCTCGAAACCAGCGTGGATTCATGTACGTGTGCGTCCTTCTTTCGCTCCTGACACTTCCCCCCCCCGCGCTCGCCACCGAGGAATGGCCCCCAAGGGCAGCAGCCGACGACAGACGCCCGGACCGAAAAAAAACACACACAACACGTCGTCGGAGACCTGGGCTCTCCTCCCCTGGCGGGAGCCCCCCGACGGCGTGGCGACGACAGCGCGCGGTGCGTCCGCGGGGGCTCGGGGCCACCGCAGGCCTCGGGGCCTCGGGCCGGTCTGCGAGCACGCCTTGATCGACCAGGGCCTTCGAGGCCCCAAAACCGCGCGGCGACGGGCCACGCGGAAAGGTCGCTGGGGGTGCCAAGATCACCACGCGGTCCATCGCCACGAAGACTTTGAGACCCCCCCAAACCCTGCTAAAACCTCCTCCTGCTCCTGCTCCTGCTCCTCGTCCTCCTCCTCGTCCTGTCATCCGCATCCCCCTCCTTCCTCGTTCTCCTCCCCCCTCCTCCTCCTCCTCCTCCTCCTCCTCCTCCTCCTCCTCCTCCTCTCCTCCTCCTCCTCCTCCTCCTCCTCCTCCTCTCCTCCTCCTCCTCCTCCTCCTCCTCCTCCTCCTCCTCCTCCTCCTCGTCCTCCTTCCCCTCCTCCTGTTCCTCCTCCTCCTCCTCCTCCTCCTCCTCCTCCTCCTCCTCCTCCTCCTCCTCCTCCGAAACCACACGGTGTTGGGGTTCCGAGCCCTTCCTCGTCTCCTCCCCTCCCCTCCCCCTGCGCGGCAGCAGCGACCAGCGCGGGCCCGGACTCGATGCCCTCGAGCGCGGCGCGTGGGGGGCGGCGCCGGCAAAGAAGCACCGGCGCAGGGCGCAGCGGGCAAGGGAGGCGCCGGCCGCGGGGGGGATTCCCCCAGAATGGACTCCAGGTTCGGAGGAGGAGAAGGAGCAGGAGGCGGAGCAGGAGGAGGAGAAAGAAGAGAAGCGAGGAGGAGCGAAGAGGATGAGGAGGAGGAGGTGGATGAACAAGTCACTCTGCTTCGAGCGACCCCCGCCGAAACCTTCGGCGTGTGCTCCCGAGTCAAGTGCTGTTTGTTATTGCGGCCAACCTAAGCTTGGCGCGCATGTCGCTCTTGATACGACACCATTTTTCGGTGAGTGTTTCATCTAACTCTATCACGTTATGTTCGGTTCAGGGCACCGTATCGAGGCCAAGGCATCCTGTTCGGTCTTTGATGCTACTATATGCACACAAGTTGCTATGTTTTGCTTTCAACGGGGCGGAGTGACGTTCATCGGTCGTTGCTGTTCCTGCTTATGTCCTGTGGCCAGCTTTACGTCGGCGTGGATGCTGCGTTTGACAAGGCGCCATGCATCGGTCGTTGCTGTATTTAACAAGATTCCACTGTGTGATGGTCCGTCGAATTCAAATGTGCTGTACTGGATTATGTTATTCCGTGTATTCGACGGGCTGGCATAACGTCGTGACGCCTGTCACGTTCAATACGTCGTCCGATCGGAGCGCACGCCGCGCTTAACTGTGTGAAAATACGGTCGAGCACGTTATGATGTTCGCTTGATGAAACGCCGTGAATTGGTGACTGCTGTCGAATGCGAGGGGGTGAGGTCGCGGTGGAACGGAGAGCCCCCCATCGGGAAGTCGGTTTCGGTTTCGTCTTCGAGCCGCGCGTGCAGACGAGGCGAAGCTGCGTGGGCGGGCG